ACTGATGGAAAAATTTGGGATGTGCAAGTTGGATTTACAAAGGGGATGGGGTGTACGGATCAAGTCTTTTCCATGCGCATGATATACATTTGTATACCTATCTATTACAATGCGTGGCTGTGCCCACGCGCCCTCTGTTAATAAACCAGTGCATAGCAAGCTACCGGCCGTTTAACTCGCTCCCTGACCGCATACTTAACATATATTATAGCCAGATTCATGTGGAATAGTATAGGCTATCTAGCATTAAGCTATATTACTACTCAGCTAGCCTTAAATATGGATATTTGTTAAGCAAGTCAGAAGAAAAAGCACTCCCGAAATGATTTATCCGCGTACGCTGGTGTTATCGTTAGGGATACGTAAATACAATATTCTAGAAAAATATAGACCTTTACTCTGTCTAAAAAAGTCCGCGATACCATATGTCTATTTCTTATACATAAGCCATAATTTGGTATTTTGTGACGAAAGTTACTTCATCATCAAGACAATTTTACGAAGATAAACTTTGTTCTTTATACCATGTTATTTGGACGCATAGTTTAAGAGATAATGTAAAATTAAAATAATTCAATACTTCACTGGGCGCGCGATCGACGTTTAAACCCTAGCCGTTATAAAACGCTTGAACTAGGTCATGTTGCGCACCTCGGACACGTGATGACGCGGGTGAAACCGCGGGGCACAGCTAGTCAAATAATAAAACTAACTAATGACGTCAGTAACTAAGTACCTAATTATCTAGATCCACCTATAAATAATAATATATTATTACCTTTCGGTACCTTAGGAACAGTAAAGAATGAAAAATCGACATTACTATTGTTATTTAAGCACCCGCATGCTATGCAGTACCTTTTGGCTTTTTGAGAGGCCATATTTGAATAATAACTCAAAAAATCAAAAGTGGCTAAATACTTAATGTGACGCGCGTCACCTCGAGCGCGCGCGTGACAATCTCACGGAATTAGCCGCTTGTAGGGGACCACGCAGTGTAGGTATATTTTCATGCCTAAAACGCGGAATGAGACAAGGCCTGGTTATACTAACAATTGTCGGCAACCAAAGGTACTTTCTAGCGTTTTATAGATCACTCTAGATTGTGAATTGCAATGGCTAGTAAACTCAACTTAGATTCTTAGTTTGTTAGAAAGATTGGTCAACTAATGGATGTTGCTACCGCTAGGTATGAAATGAAAATTCTATTTTGCAAAAACAGGGCATTATGTGCAATTTATACTTTGTGCTCTCGTGATTCATTAAGGGAACTGTTTAAATAAATATTCCAATATATGAAAATATTAAGTATGTACTTAAATATTGTATGCGAAAGAATAATAATAGATCTCTTCATACTCTTAAGAATATTTCTTAGGATATTTTAAGCCTTTCTAAAATAAAATTAAATAATCACATTAAAATGTGTTTAATATGCTCTAAAAGCTTACATAGGTTAAAATTAATATTTTGATGACAAAGGCGCATGAAATGGTGTCATTTCAAGCTATGTAAGCTTGTGACTTAGCAATTGGTAATAGGTATGTTTAATATTACCAGAATAAATATTTGTAATTGTATTCATAATACATACATTATAAGTCATGTACACACATTTTGTATTCAGTAAACAGTTTTAATTTTCTGTATTTTGGGAGATATATCTGTGATCTGTGTAACGAACTTGGGTATATATGTCACGCTTATAGACATGGGTAACACTGCTAACTCGGTTCACTGCGCCTATATGTTAACTCAGTTCTTCAAAATGTGTTGTCACAGCGCAGGGCCGAGAAATTAGGAAGGTATTAGATGTTGTTATTTTATATTATTTTTATAAACTGCAACTCCGTGAAATATAAAAAGAGTGATACATAATACCTAATACACTGGTTATATTTGGTATGCTACGTAGGCTATTCACTGCAAATATGAATTTAGTAACTATTACTATTGACCGATAAATATACAGACTTTTGCACCTATTGTAGGTTATTTGAGCAGCGTCTCATGATAGGCAAACATTTTCATGACTGTAGAGGCCAACACGAACGATGCTCTGTGTCAGGGCTGTCTGAGGACATTGATGCTCTTACTCGCGCGTTTATTATCAAAGGACTGAAACCATGTCTTATCGTATACGAGACAATAATCGCGGAATTTTTTTTCCATTTATCACGCTTTTTTTATAGGATAGGGTGACAAACGAGCACACAGTCCACCTGATGGTATGTGGCTGCTGTGGCCCATAGACATCTACATATATCCTCGTTTGCGAATCAAAATGCAGATGCGTTATCATCCGTGAGGACTAAGATGGAATGCCTCTTTTCCAGTAAAAAGGGTCTCCGGTTCTCTACACTCACCATACGAAACACAGCAGTCTTAAGCTGCTATTCTGTGAGAGCGTGGTTCTTCCCCGCTCGAGCCGACCAATTTGTGCTACAACTATACTACTAATATAGCTGCAGCATGGCTCTACCACGTTTAACGCTCGCTGACATCGATTTCCCATTTTTTGCAATCTAATGTTAAACGCGATCACAATCCTTGAATAAGGCTATGACCCTCCAAGCGGAGATATACTCTGTTCATTATCGCCGCAGATTGCTGGCAGGGAAAAATTCCAGCTGATACCGTCCACCAAAGACCCCCTGCCGTTTACCCATTGTTTCATTTATCATCTCATCTGCTTTCTTTGTTTATTGTGATTTAATCAAACAGTCTTGTTTATGTGTTAAATTAAGGATATACTTTGTTTTCATTTTTTTTTCTTACTCTTTTACACCCATTTGTTTGTGTTTGTGAACTAATACAGTGCAACCTCGATATATTATGTATTACGTTTGTGTTTTCAATATTTTAACTTCATTGTCAATATATTATTTTGTCTAAGTTTAAAAATAAGATTATCCTATGTTTTACTTTATATAGTTTTGTGTATTTTGATGTCATTTTACTATTTTGTGAGTTTTAAATTCCACTTGTTTATATTTCCTTAAAGTTTTAAAGTTATTCTACCATTATGTCTTTAATTAGAATTAAGATAACATTTTATTTTCTGTTATTTAAATTTTCTTTTGTTTTTAATGTTTAATTCATATTGTAATTATTATTTTAAAAAGTCTTTGATTATGTCAAGCGGTAAGCGTGAGACTACTGAAACAATATATTTTTGTAAATTAACCATAATTTTATTAATTCCGAACCATATATATATACATTGTAATAAATTAATAACAAACCATACTAATATATGGAAAGGCAAACATACTACGTATCAAATCGCAGACATAATATGTAGCCTTCTCCATGTGCGTATTATAAAAATAAGCAAAATGGTATCTCAAATGAATAATATTGTGAAAATTAACAATATACTCCCGCCGGTGGGGGTGTACCTTCCGGTGGAAACCATAAAAAAAGACCCTACCGCTCCGGCTCCCACGCTGGGCATATACCGTATGTTTATGCGTTGCGGATTCTTGATCTTTTCCACTACTTCATGGCGGAATTTTAATTAGCAAACGAGTGATGAGACTTCAGATATCAACTGCACGTTCATTGTTCCTACATGCCAAAAGCAGTTTCGAATTTAGATATAGTTACTATGGGAGCGGAACGACGTGGGCACCCTGCCTCGTTAAAAATAGTCCCGAGTACTATTTAAATTTTAATAATTTATTTATATCTCACCACAAACGACATGGACAATACATTGGTATGTATCTTCCATATCGTTTAACACTGAAAAGTATTCATAAAATCTTATGAATTTAATCTAACAAGAATATTGTTAATTCTAAAGTAAAATTCTCAACTCTATGAGTTTATATCATCATCATCATTACAGTCCTTCATAAGTCCACTGCTGAACATAGGTCTCCTCCAAGGAAGCCCACAAAGCACGGAGGATTGTGCTCAGAAGAGCAACCTGCATCCATCGACTTCCTGCATTTCTTACCAGGTCGTCCACCTGGTCCAGGTCTAGATGGGGGCCGCCCCACATTTAGCATACCGGTACGAGGCTGCGACTCGAGAACCTTCCCCATCGGTTATCGGGTCTTCGTATATGGCCGGCCTGTTGCCATTTCTTTTTAAATAATATTTTCTAACACCAACAAGGTTAAAATATTTTTATGATATGCAATTATCAATATAAGGATTTTGAGAAAAATGTCCAATAATTCTATTATAATTGTCATGTGTTCACTTTTTTATTGCAGGAGACTCATGTAATGCATAAATTTGATAAAGACTTCTATGGGTCCAATTTGAAAATATGTATTGTTGGATACTTGCGACCAGAGAAAAACTTTAGTTCGTTGAATGACTTAATAGAAGCAATTAAAAAGGATATCGCGGATGCTCATACTAAACTCGAGGAAATGGAAGCAAAGATTTTAAAAGATCATAAGTTTTTTAATCAGAAAAATAATGTTAAATCATAATGATAGCTAATAATTTAATAGTTAATTTTTTTCGTTTCAGACTATTTTTGTTAAATTTTTATATTATATAATTTATGGGTTAGTGATGAAAGACCAACGTTAGACTAATTAATTTTTTTATTGTATGTAAATATGTTGATTATAAAATTTTACTTATGCTCTTAGTACTTAAACAATATGACTTAAATATTTTTTACTATATTATTATGTACTTTATGTAATGTTATATGCTTTAAGCATAAAAGTGATTTGTAAATGCTATTGTTTTATCAAAATGTGATATTTTTAAAACCAAATGGTATGTAAATAAATATTCTATATGAACTTGGTTTCTTTTCAAACTCAATAATTAAATGTTTTATAGTACTTGTTATTGTGTGATTACAGATATGAATTGTGAAGTAAGAAAAAAGCTCTATGTTCCTTTCGAAAAAACCTTTATTTGTTATGCTTCATCGGATCCATTTTAAGGAATTTGTAAAATATTACTCCTTCACAGAATTGGAAATAAAATGCAATCTTAAATTAGGGCTTCTCTCCAGGACTAAATTAATGTTGTTTTCTCCTAAATGAACAACCTGTAAAAAAACAAATACATTAAATTCACCGTATTATGCATACTTATTATAATATTATAATGCATTTTTATGTGGTTCCATAGAAATAAACCATGGCATATAATTGCTAGAAACAGGTCAGGCGATAACAAACAAATGATAAATTGTCTTCGAAATGTCTGTATGTATGTGTTCCTACAACATTCATCGAGTTGGTGCGCGCGTGTCTGTGAATTATTCTGAAAGATATTTCGACGCATGCGCCGCACAGCTAGTATTATTATATTAATACATGAATATATGCTTAAACTTAAAACCATTTAAAATATTATTTGAAAATTTTTAAGAATATATTTGGTAAATATATGTTTTATGAGTTTTTTTTTACAGAATAAGGGTGACAAATGTGCGCACAGTGATGATAAGTACATGCTGTGGCCCATGGACGTATACATTTATCATCGATTAAAAATGTAGATGTGTTGGCACCCATGAAGACTTAAGCTGGAGTGCCTCTTTTCCAGTAAAAAGGGTCTAAGAATCTCTACACTCACCATACCAAACAACAATATCATATGTTAGGTGTGAAAATTGGAACAGAAACAGAAACTTTTTTATTCAATGTAGATTATAAAAATACTTATTAAAAGTCAATTATGTTTAATTATCACTGGTTCGGAAAAAACCTGTCCTGGGAAGAACCAGTAACAAACCCAGCAGGCCTTTAAAAAAAAACAGCTTACAATCATGTATGTTATACAATTAAAAACACAAAACAAATTAGAAATAGCCTGGTAGCAATCACTTCATTCCCAGGGGTTATTATCATCTATTATAATTACCCATTTTATACCAAACTTAGTATAAAGATTTTAATTTTGAGCAGGTCAAATTTTATGTTTTCTGGGATTTTGTTGTAAAAGCGTATTACATCACACCAAGAATGAATTACTTACTCGGTGGAGTCTAGTAACTTGGTACTACTCACCACTTATTTTTGTGTACGTTCATTACATAAATGTATGAGGCCAAAGTTAATTTTATTTCGGAACTGATAGCGCGATATCTTATGGCCCTCTTTTGTAAAACAAATATACTTTCAGTGTCAGTCGTGTCTACATAGCAAAATACCATACGACATTACGGTATGGAAACAGCATGTAAAAGTCCACAGCTGGAAACACACGCGTACCTAAGACTTATGTTGTTGGTTGCTAATTATTTTAAAAACATATTTGTGAATGTATTTATTTATTTTTGGTATGTTTTGACTTGATTTCGGAGTCACTTGAAATGTATGCAGTGCCTAATTCACTTTGTTGGTAGTGTGAGGGTTACAATTAATTATATTTTAATTTTAAATGCTCTCTAAAATAGAAGTCAATACTCTAAAACTTTTAAGAATCTATTCAAATGCCCTCTTTACCCTCGTATTTCATCCAATAATTTGATTTTTAGAATCAGGTTAGTCTAAATCTTACAGCTAAAGGTTAATCCTGACATTCTCCATGGGTTTAATTATTTAGTTGTACTGTATCCAAATGTCATGTGAAATATTCTTAAATCTTATTATGCTTCTCTAGATAAAATTTTCTATTATATTTACATTAAAAAAAATTGCAATTAACAATTTCATTGGGTGGTTAATTTTTTATATCTCAAGTTCAAGCTAGTTCAGAGACATGCCGAAGGCCTAAAATAGTAGTAGCTATTTATTTTAAATTTACTAAAACTTTTTGTGTCCATTAAAAACTCATTTTTTATTCAATTTAGCTTGCACGTTATGTTAAAATAGGCTTTACTATATTTAATCTTTCGTTCTCAGGCTTACAATTTTGTAATAAATTAATTTTATTGTATATGTTACTGGCAATGCATATAATTTTGTAATCTATTGTTTACCATTACATACCTTTCCTAGGTATTGTATGTAATACCTAGGTAATGTATAGAATGCCATTAGGAGATCAGGCAAGGTATAAAACGTGAACAAACGCCACTTTTCTACCGACTAACAGGAGGTGGTACTCAATTTGACTGTTCTTTTTTAAACGTGTTTCCTCATAAATTTTTTTATAGGAGAGGGGGCAAACGAGCATGCGGCTCACTTGATGGTAAGTGACTAGCGCCGACCACGAACAACTGCAACACCAGGGGAATTGCAGATGCGATGATGCCGGCCTTTTAAAAAGGAGTAGGCTCGTTTCTTGAAGGTCCCTAAGTCGTATCGGTCCAGAAAAAATCGCTGATGGTAATCGATTCCACAAGGAAGTTGTGCGAGGAAGAAAACATTTTCTAAATCGCACAGTGGTGGACCACCAATCATCCAGATGGTGTGGATGGAATCGAGAGTTCTGCCGCGATGTGCGTTCGTGAAATTTGGCGGCTGGGATTAATCCGAACAATTCCTCAGAGCACTCCCCGTGGTAAATGCGAAAGAAAATGCAAAGGGATGCAACATCTCTTCGCAGTGCCAATGAATCGAGCCGATCGGAAAGGACTCGGTCGTCGACGATTCGAGCCGCTCTGCGCTGGATGCGGTAAAGTGGAAGGAGCTGGCACTGGGGAGCCCCTGTCCAGAGATGGGAACAGTATTCCATGTGAGGCCGAACCAACGTCTTGTAAAGTTGTAAGCGGTGTGCCGGCATAAAATATCCCGCTCTGCTGAGCACGCCAAGCTTTTTAGAGGCCAATTTGGCCTTCTCTTCCAAGTGACCACGAAACTGCACGTCACTCGATATGTCGACGCCAAGGATTCCGATACTGGTTGAGGCAGTGCCTTGAAACTGAGGAGATACGACAAAGGGGTTCTTTTTAGCGGTAAACGCGCAAACTTGTGTCTTCTGGGGATTAAACTGGACTAGATTTAGTCGCCTCCAATTCGAGACTTTGTTCCACAAAGACTCTACTTCAGACACAAGTTTGTTATGGTACTCGGCGACGTTTTCCCGATAAATATTGGCACGGTCGGTGTATAGAGCATCACCAGTGCTGTTATCCTTTTTGTCATAACTTTTTTCTGTGTGAACTGATGTGGATAGTCCTTTTTTATTTGAAAGCTGGTGCTTCACATGTGGTCCCATATAAATTTGATCAAGGTCTGATCAATAGTTTTTGAGTTATTCTTAATAATTTATATTGAAGTCGGTTATACAATTTTCTTTTAATTTTAAATTATTCATAGACAATTCAGTTTTGATAAGACACATTATTAATTAACTGTAGTGTATTATTGTCTTTATTTATTTTAAATGCAAAACTGCAACAAATATCTTCTTTATATATTTAATGCAATTATGAACAATGAAAAAAGTGAACACAAAAATATATGTTTGTTTGAACATGTAAAATTAAGGACAATTTCATTTTTAGAATCTCATAAAAAAAATTAAATAAATATACAGTCGAAAATGACATTAATGAATTACAATTAAAGTTACCAAATTAAAATAATGAAACCTTGGAGGTAAAAATAACAAGGTCTTTATATACATTAATATTATCATGACAGTTTAAATTATTCAAAAGAAATTGCATTGAACTTTTATCATAACAGTCAAACTACTCACAGATTGATGCACCAAAAGTAAACCATCTAAGAAGTTATAACAAAATTTTGGTATGCCAGTTATTGTAACAATTTGTATGAAAATACTCTTCTGTACGAGTTAAGCAATTATTTAATAAAATCATTACAATTAATCTTTTTTAATAATACCATTTTTATTATTGTGAAAACCACAATAATAAAAATGGTATTAGATTATAAATATTGTTTTAAACTTTTTACCATTTTATAATTTTTCTAATATCCCCCCCCCCTCTCCATTTGTCAGCAAAAGTTAGAAAAAATTGAACCTCTGCCCATAAATGTGCTTACGTAATACTTGAATGCCCCCTTACTACACCCAAGGGATGATATACGGAAGTGGATATTCTTACACCGCCACTACATGGTAAGAGAATAAATAGGTAATGATGTAAATTTAATTCTGTTACAAGCACAGAATATTAAGAACACAATGAAGTGGCAACACATATAATTTGTATTTGGACCAGCGTTTCCAAACTAACACTAAAGCAAGGACAGAAAATGTGTACCGACAGTTGTACCAAATGTCAATAATTCTTGCCTCATTGACTATTATGAAATAATAGAAAAAAGCTTTGTTACTCACCATCAGCTTGAGTATGAATCATCAGGTATTATAAATAGATATCATACATATGTTTTAATCCAGAAAAATTCTGCAATCAGTATAAAAACTCACTGCAAGTCTAAATTCGTACAGAATGATAAAGCTAATTGACAAAGTAACACTACAAAGTATCCAAGTACAGAAACAGAGCATGAATCCTATCTAACTGCAGGAAGATTTAAGACAGAGAGGCATTATACAACGTGTCCCTAAATTCAACGATAAGCCAACACCGGAGGATAAACCTGCCCCGGACTAATCGGGTAAAAAAAGAAAAAAAAATATATCCCAATTATATTTTAAGTTATATAAAAAAAATGAAATTCTTCAGAAATTGAGACCGTTTATGATATTTTTCACTACCATGACCACAATTTTTTAAATATTTTTTTCTTTTTTTTTTATAGGCAACCTGAATAGTACTGCTATCTACCACAATTCTTAAAAACTCCAGAATAACTCTTGTTTTATCACGAAAATTAATGAAACTTATTTTATTCCCTAAATTTTTTGAAGACTTTTACTTTTAACCAAATTTAACTTATCGTGGTGTAAAAAAAAAGTATGAACACTAGTATGGCAAGTTTTTTTAAAAATTGACGCAACTAACCAATATTCCAAAATGGTATAATACTCTAGGAAAACAAGTTATAAAAAAATATGGGCCTATTATTTCTTAACAGGGGCCAAATTCCTTAAATTGTAATTGTCAGTAATCACTTTTACTACATGCCCAAAATGGGTTCCTGTTACAATTTCTAGGAATTCGAATGGGGCATTAATACCTTAGATGTTAGAGAGAGATAGATAGATAGATAGAGATATTTACGTTAAAAAGAGACAACAACAGGGCAGGTAGAGAAGCTGTTATTATTCTCAGCAAGTCGGTTCAGTACGCTCTGCTCCTTTGTTTACTGCGCACCGTACCCAATTCAACTTACGTGGCCCTCGTACATACTATCGACTTTTGGCTTGGCTTTTTGGACTGGAATCGACCTGCAAACTTAACTGACCTGGCATTATTTGGACTGGAAGTGATCTGCAAACTGAACTGACCTGGCATTATCTTGGACTACGATTGTGTGTTTTGTGATTTAGAGTTCTGGCGCATTTTGGACGGTTTGGCATTTAACATGCCGCAACCGTACACACCACAGGAATACGCTAATATGCATTTAATCTATGGAGAATGCCGATGTAATGCTAACGCTGCTAGCAGACTGTATCCAGAAAGATACCCAAATGCTCAAAGATATCCTGATTATCGAGTGTTTATTAATGTGCATCAAGCGTTTTCGGAGGGTCGTATGCCATCCAATAGGAGCAGCGCTGGAAGACCTAGATTGGATCGTGATGAAGAAGTTCTCAAGGAGATAGAAAATGACTCGACTACTTCGGTACGTGCCATAGAAGAAGCTACAGGAATCCCGAAAAGTTCTGCACATCGAATATTAAAACGTCACAAGCTTCACCCATATCACTACAGGCGTGTGCAGACGTTATTACCGCGGGACTATCCGCTACGGGTCACATTTTGCCGTGTAATGCTGCAAAGGCACAGTGAAGATCCCCACTTCCTAGACAAAATTCTATGGTCGGATGAAACAATGTGCAAGAAAGATGGGTATTTAAATCTTCACAATCTACATAGTTGGAGTAATGAAAATCCACACTTGATGAGACAAGACAAATCCCAATATCAATTCAAGGTTAACCTATGGACCGGCATATTAAATGGAAAAGTAATTGGGCCCTTTGAGTTACAAGGAAACTTAGATGGCAATAGTTATTTAAACTTTTGACTTGCAAGAATTGTTAAACGACGTGCCCTTAAGTGATCTTCAAAACATGTGGTTCCAAAATGATGGTTGCCCAGCACATTATGCCCGTCCTGTGCGAGAATATTTAAATCAAGAGTATCCAGGGCGTTGGATCGGGCGACTTGGTCCTATCTTATGGCCACCCCGTTCACCCGATTTGAACCCCCTGGACTTCTTCTATTGGGGTTGTCTTAAAAACAGGGTCTACTCAAAACCCATTGTGACATTGGACGAGCTTCGTCGAAATATCACTCAGGCTGCTGATTACATTAATAGCAGAAGATATGCAAGACAAATAAAACGATCATTTTTAAGGTGATGTCGTGCATGTATTAATGCTGGTGGCAAACAGTTCGAACATTTGCTATAATGTTAATAACTTAATAAATTACACGTGAAACTGTTTGTACCATTTGTTTTGAAATATTAAACATTTTTCAAGAAATAATACTTTTATTACACCCGACCGTCATTTGGCCCCTGTTAAGAAATAATAGGCCCATATTTTTTTATAACTTGTTTTCCTAGAGTATTATACCATTTTGGAATATTGGTTAGTTGCGTCAATTTTTAAAAAAACTTGCCATACTAGTGTTCATACTTTTTTTTTACACCACGATAAGTTAAATTTGGTTAAAAGTAAAAGTCTTCAAAAAATTTAGGGAATAAAATAAGTTTCATTAATTTTCGTGATAAAACAAGAGTTATTCTGGAGTTTTTAAGAATTGTGGTAGATAGCAGTACTATTCAGGTTGCCTATAAAAAAAAAGAAAAAAATATTTAAAAAATTGTGGTCATGGTAGTGAAAAATATCATAAACGGTCTCAATTTCTGAAGAATTTCATTTTTTTTATATAACTTAAAATATAATTGGGATATATTTTTTTTTCTTTTTTTACCCGATTAGTCCGGGGCAGGTCTATCCTCCGGTGTTGGCTTATCGTTGAATTTTGGGACACGTTGTATATCACTCACCTTCGAATATGCAACAATAAGATATGGTTATTATGGCAGTATTCCTGCATGACCTTAGTGCTTTAACACCGCAGAAGGCGCTACTGCGTAAAAAATACCACATTGGGGTAAAATAATGTTGTATCTTTTATATTTGCCTATTTGGAGTGCTGTCCATTCTAGTAACTTATGGTGTAGCAACAAGGAATGCTTTCCCCCACCATACACAGTTGGCACCACTTACTTACAGTTGTTAAGTATGGGTATATTTTTTGCCCAGTAGTGACTGAATGGTTTGATAAATTTTAGTGTTTTATTATGAGCAATCAAAAAACTGACAGAGCAAGGAGACAAAGATGTTGCTCTTATCTAAGACCATACTCATGATGCTATTAATGGAGGATTCATGCTAGAATAACAAAAAGAGGATCTAGATAATGTGAAATATAAGAATTGGCAGATACATAGGCAAGGATAATGTGTCTATATGACAATATGACCCTGGAAAGAGATCATAAAATGAAAACTGTCTGCAAGTTGTGCGTTATAATGTTCACAACACATACATGAACATAATATACTTATTTGTCACACTTGCAACTGAAATAACATAATAACTTCGAATCTAAGATAACAATATAATCAATAGGATGGTATAAATGGAAAATATGTCAGAAAGAATAATATTATTGTTATTCATCATATCTCAATATAGTGGTATTTTAAGAAAGATTACATTTTTGTTGCTAAGTTCATAATTATTAAGATAATAGAAAGCATTGATTAAAGTTTAGGAGAAAAGTTTATAATTGTCTAAATAAACAATCAATGACAATGTTGTGCAATATTTTAAAGAAAAATCAACTTAAAACCCAACCCTACACTTATTTTCCAATAATTAATAGATTTCCAACTCAAGTAAAGTTCATATTTACTAAATAGAAAGCATTGGTTAAAGTTTAGGAGAAATGTTTATAATTGTCTAAATAAACAATTAATGATAATGTTGTGCAATACTTTTGAAAAATCTATTCTTAACCCAATCCTGCACTTGTTTTCCAATAATTAATAGATTTCCAACTCAAGTAAAGTTCATATTTACTAAATAGAAAGCATTGGTTAAAGTTTAGGAGAAATGTTTATAATTGTCTAAATAAACAATTAATGATAATGTTGTGCAATACTTTTGAAAAATCTATTCTTAACCGAATCCTGCACTTGTTTTTCAATAATTAATAGATTTCTAACCCAAGTTTTTTTTATAAGTATGAGAATCAATTATTATTACATATTGAAATTCAATAACTGAATGTTTTTTTTTAAATGGGATAATGGTGACAAATGAGCACACAGTCCACCTGATGGTAAGTGGTTGCTGTGATCCATAGATAGACATCTACATTTATCCTCAATAAAAAATCTGAATGTAAATGCGTTGTTACCCATGAGGACTAAAATTTGTTGCAAATTATCTGTTGTTTATGAATTTGTAATTCCATCAAAATTATGGGTTCATGGTATCACTGTACTTATTTGGAATCTTGTAAAATAAACATAATAAATTTAAATATGTAATTTCTTTTAATTATTCGACAACCCTCTCCCCAGGATTTCCTATAATGTCTACAGTGATGACATGTTTATAAAAGTGTCAGATTACTGGTAGGTTACATTAATAATGTGCAAATAGATATTTTAACTTAATGTGAAGTTTTAAAAAATTAAGCAGGAAGACCTTCAGATTAACAACCCAGTCAGTGTTTTGAATAAAGATGTTTAAGCAAAAGTAGTTTTGATTAAAAGATATTGGTGAAGAGATTTTGATTAAAATATATTTGTTAAAAGTAATTATGGCCATGACTAAGACGTTAAAATCACTTGACCAGGAATATGGCTCGAAAATGGGGTTTGGTCAGTAAACAAAGTACCTTTAACTGTAGAATTACTCGTTTTGATAGGAATTTCAATAAAAAAAAACATGTATTTTGAGGGTTTTCCAAAGGGGATACCCATTTAGCTCTCCCCCTTCTATTACAAACCTTTCTGAATTTCATAACACAATGTAATTTTAAATAATTAAACAAAAATATGATTAAAAGTGAAATTGTAATAAGTAATATTGTGAAACTCTGCAACAGTGACCAAACTATGTAATATATAGCATACTATTTCTCTATAGAAAGATTTAACATTATTTTTGACAATAAATAGATACTTTGACATGATTTAATAAAATACAGCAAATTAGCATGTTGATAATTGGAACAATTTACCACGAGTGTCCATAAGCAAACACAAGCTAACCTGATAGACTACCATAAAATAATAGTCTGCATTCAACCAGTTGAGTTCATTTTTTAAGTATACTAACTTTCTAGTTGAAGCCCATCCAGTTTTTAAATTCAAGTAATCTCAAAATGTTATGTATATTGTAAAAATAAAAGTATATTAATGCACATGAATATGTAATCAGATTGAGAGAGGTTTAATATAGATTGATTAGTTTGGCAAATTGATTTGCCTATTTAATATTTTTGACAGTAACTAAGCAAATAATTTAATTAATGTTAAATTAAAAAATACAAGATATTTTACCTTCGGTTAATCTAGCACGACCACCAGTAGGCTGACAAAGAATCGTTGAACATCCCGCGCACACCACCACCCTTTGCGCGTGACTGAAAACTGTTGTGATTTTGTAACAGCCGGGGCATTTTACATCCATGAAATATGAATTTGGATGTGGCACCAGCCTCTTTAACTTGTGTTTCCTCCTCTCCGACGCGGGCGACGGATGCAATAGATCAACAGCGAGCTGAAAACGTTTGTATTTAGGTTAGTTTCAGGCAGTCCACTTTGTTTATTCGGTTTGTTTCTTCATTTAAAACACTACGAAGATTTAATGAGAATATGTTGTTCATTCTGGAGGTTAGAAGAGTTGAACGTGAAGTCGAGATGTCAAACCTAGCCATGTGTTTATCTCGATTTGTGCGCAGTTAAGTTTCTATCAGATATTAAACTAAAATAAGTTAGTGAACTTAACAATTGACTATCACAAAGAAGTAATTAATTGAATTTAATAATGTATCACTGATTGATTATTTTTAATAAAACACACCGGCATGGTTACAGCTTCGATGCAGAACCGGAAAAGGAAAGGCGTATAATGTAGCAAAAACAAGAGATCAGATCCATAAATATTGTTGACGTTGTTATTGTTACCATTCCCCAGTTTAGGTAGGCAGAGATCTTAGACCGTACAGCCTAGTTCAACTTCACATTATGTTAATACGTTCAATTGCAAAATTCTTGGGAGATTTTGACCGAACCTCAACCCAAAGGATAAAAATACCGGAAATTTATGTCACCATCGAAGTCCTTGTTAGATCATTACCATTAATAGTTCACATGCGCAAGGATTTGATATACAAAATTGTACTACTTTTACACATCAAAATCCACTATAATTATTACTTAAATGCTAAACCAGGAACAGAAATGGAAAAGTTCCAGCTAAAAATCCTTCAGTTCCATAATTATTACTTTTAAATGGAAGATACCAAGGCCTTTTGTTCCTAAATTATAGTAAGTTCGTAAGGTTTGCGCATGTATTGCTATTGTTATTAGAACTATACGTCTATCGGTTTGATCTTTATACATATAAGTAGTAGTCGTGAATTCATAGATTACTAATATAATAAGGTGTCTCAGAAGAAAGTTCATATTTGAATAGCTCACTACGCAAACGTGACAAAGCTCAGAGGTGCGAGGATATGTCCATTACTTACCTGGCTTTTGGAAATTTAGTGTTTATCTTAGATAGGCTAAAGCACAGAGGAAATTTTGCGGAATATTTGGTGCATAATTTAAATAATGCACCAAATATTCTTGTTTTTCGGAAATGGGTCAAAAAGTTTGAGGATATCCGAGCAACCAAGAGCATCAAAAGCTGACGAATCTATAGAGCTAAGTTTCCCAACCTTCTTTTGACGAGGGACCACCTGGATTTTTTGTTGTTAGCAGAGATTACAACAGAGACAAGTTTAGTTTCGCTCTCGATGACGTTTTCTCGAGGAATATTTAACACAGCCTCTCTCTTCTGCATTTTTTCTTTCTGTATTCTCTTTCTTTCTCTTTTTTCCACCATGTGTATAGAGTAAATTAATATAAAGGGAAAGGAGAAAGAGAAATAGTTTTCTATGTGTATACTTATGATGCCTCAAAACAAACTTTATTTTGATGTATTAATGAAAAAAAAGGTTTTTTTTTAATAGGATAAGGGTGACAAACGAGCACACAGTCCACCTGATGGTAAGTGGTTGCTGTAGCCCATAGACATCTACATCTATCCTCCACTACAAAATGGAGATGCGTTGTCACCCGTGAGGACTCAGATGGAATGCCTCTTTTTCAGTAAAAAAGAAGGTTCTTTACACTCACCATACGAAACACAGCAGCATGAACTGCTATTTTACGCTGGTATTCTGTGAGATCGTCATTGTCATTCATTCATCATCATCATCTTCCCCGGTCGAGCCAACACATTCGTGATACAACTATACCAGTAATATAGCTGCAGCATAGCTCTACCACGTGCAAAAATTAGATTGTTGTCTGGTTGGTGTCTATCGACAAAAATCTTTATTTATTATTAAAATAATATACTTGTAAAGAATTGCTTCTCAAAATATATATCATCTAAATGCACCTTGTCACGGCAATTATTCAAAAGAAGAGCAAGGGCCGACATTTCGCGATTATATCAATTGCATAAGAGAAGTCAAATTATTAACATAAACTTTGAATTTGACACATTCGCGTAAGAAAAAACCTATGAGGATCAAATTAGGACTGCGTGGGAAGTCAATTTATGTCTCTTTCTCCTTCCCTGGAGGTCAATTACTGTGGGAAATTTTTACGAACTCGCGATGGACATGCAATGGACGAGTGTGGCGTAGCTCAGTTTTGAAACCATTAGTTATAATCAAGAAAGTTTTGCATTTCAAGTATCAAAAAGTCATTTAACATAATATTCTGAATTCACTATATCTGTGCGATCTCTTTCGTCTTCGAAAAATTACGGGTCGATCACTTCTCGAGCCAGTATCGCAGCCCATATGATGAATTAAACGTGATTCTGATTATGATATATGTATATATCAGATTATGTAGAATTTGGTGTAATGCACGTTTAAAGAACTTTCGCATCTATGAATGGAGGGATATATGTAGTTCGTCACAAAAGAACAATTTATACTACCTATAGCAGTGATTCCTAATCAGTGGTACGCAAGAGTTTAAAAATATGATCCTTGAAAGATTTAAATATTTTACCTACCTAATCGTTTTAAATAACACATTTATTATTTTCTCGTCACGCGGGCACTGCAACAGCGCGCGTCACATTGGTAAGTACCTACTAGCTTTTACAATAAATACACCAATGATACTGTTAATGAATGCTTCTTTTCAGTTTAATATATAATTATGTTACAAGTTGTGATTATAATGTGTCACGAAGTTGTTGAATAAAGTCTTTAAAGGATTGGGGAGGACTAAATCTAGTCTAGTTCAATCCTCAGAAGACACAAGTTTGTGTGCCTTGTTCGAACAGTAAATTCCAACGTCGCACATCGAGACCCAATTCGCGATACCATCCATACCATCTGGATGATTTGCGGTCCACCATGCGATTAACCAGAAGTTTTCTTGCTCATATAACTTAGTATATTAGTATAAATGAATAGAACTAAGTTGTACGGTAGGAATAAGTTAGTAATAAGAAATAGAAGTGCTCAGTTTTATTATTTTTTCTCTTACGATGAGAGGTGTAAGGTGTAAAGAGTAAGTGGTGTTTGTGTTAGCTGTTGTGGGTTCAACTTTAATATGTGTTTGCATTTAAATACATGTGCGTTGAACTCACCCGACATGGAACACTCACAATCCAGGACAGTTAGTGGTGTGTTTTTCCTGTCATGGTAATTCGAGTTGGACGCAAAAATGAAGCCAACAAGTTGTCCTCAATGTGTTGAGATGGAAGCGATGGTTTACAGAAGTTTCTTCAGACAGCCTTGGTAAGAGACCAGAATGCACGCGTTCCTGAAGGAAGGCGAATTAATGTGTCACCTAATCTGACAATATGCTCTGACTTTGCCTTGGAAATAACTCTTTTGAAGAACTTGGAAGCGGAGTAAGACTACTTTTAAAGGGTGCTGGTGTTCACATCGTTATCCTCATCAACTGACCGCTCGGTCAGTAGTGAAGAGTTTTTGAAATAAATAAAAGAATGACTTTCAATAAGAATTACACATGTGATCTATATTTAATAAAAAAAATATTCTATTCTATTCTATTCTAATACAAATTAGAATAGGCTGTATGGTATTTTTTTGGCAAGCATTTGCCTGCCTTAATTCGCGAAAAACTCTTTGACATTGTCACTTGACAGTTCAGTTAATAATTCCTGTTCCTGTATAGGCCAGTTACTATACTCTTTGGTTAATAAGTAAACTAGCGTACCAAGCTACATGAATCATGCAACTTATTTAGGCCCGCCATATACATACGGAATTCCGTTTCGAGATTCCGTTTCGGAATTCCGAACGGGTCGGCCACACACATACGGAATCCCGTTTTGCTCGCAAAATTTCGAACGGAAAACGACCGTACGTGTGTGGCGGGATTTTATATGGACTTGCTGCGTTCGGGATTCCGAATCGGAATATCGAAACGGAATTCCGTATTTATGTGGCGAGCCTTATTCTATATATGACATAGAGTAGGTAATATATACCGGATATATGAGATCAATGAGGTAAACTAAACCATAGATAAATATATATGTAGCAAGCTAAACTAAGGCTAGGGTTAATAGGGGTGTCCACTTTGAAAATACATCGATGTATTTTTTCGATGTGATGCATCGAAACTGTGCATCGATATATTCCGATGCATCGGTTAAAAACATCGATGTTTTTTCAACATCGAGTACTTTTTCTGACTTCAAACAACCGACAATTTTGAATGATCTACTACTCTTACATCAGTACTGTCTGCCCGCACGCCTTTTGTGAGTGTGTATGTGTGTTCAAGGATGTTAGTTCGATAGATAGATATTCTTAATTGCATGACACACAAAGTGTCTTATTCGTAAGAACTAATATATTGTTAACAGACGTAAATATTCATAGTTATTTATTTGTATTATTTATATTTGTATGTTGATGTGTATATATGTATGTATACGTCTGTATGCATATATTTGTATATATGCATAAATAGGAGATATTTCTATAGTATATTTGTTTTATATATTTGTAAAATTAATATATAACTTAGTTAATTATCATTTTTATTTTGTTATTATTTTATACTGCTACACCTACGTCAAATTCTCGTGGGTTGACTGGTAGATTTTTTTTTGTATTATTCCCTTTGTATTCTTTTATATCAAGGAATGCAATAAAGAATAAATAAATTATTATGTATGATCATTCACCTACTACTAAATGGACGGCGGATCTAGAACAAAATTCACGAAAAATGTGTCCCGAGTCAACCTATACAAACGTATTATATATATAATTTTACTTGCGACAATTTATCAGCCTTTTAACTTCAACAAGAGGCTGCATTCTTTTCGCCTTATGAAGCTTCTAGCGAAAAAAATCGGTATGGTTTTTTGTTTTTACAATTAATGTGTATTTTAATTAAATACTACGTATATTGTATCTAAACAAAATATTATTTTTAAATTATTCAATATTAATAGTTTAATATAAATAGTATCGAAAAAAATATATAAATAGTTTTGCTCGTATTGTGATACTGTACGGCAATTTGGAGTGTATTATCGGGCGACAAAACGAAGACTGGCGTTCAATTCGAGCTCTTTTTGCATTTTGGAACTCTTTTGGCTCGGACACTTTTGAGCGCATAGCCGAGGTCCATTTAGTAGTAGGTCAATGTTTATGATATTATTTTAAATGATAAAAAATGATACATTCACAATAAAAATACTATGGAATACAACTCCATCTTTTTGTACAACTTTAAGTATTTGACTGCTTTATGCACACGTTAACCGCACCGATTGGCATTTTTCAAAAAACACCTACTTCGGCGGAAATGATTCTTATAGGGATAAAAATCTAGTGCGTTTATAAAAACGATTCTGTAAGCAGGTTTAATCAACGCACAAGATTTTTAAATCCAATACTTTGGCAGAGGGCAATAATCATGCGAGGCGAGTCCACTGTGTTAATTTTTTTTATAGGATAAGTGTGACAAACGAGCACACAGTCCACTTGATGGTAAGTGGTTGCTGCGGCCCATAGACATCTACATCTATCCTCTGTTACAAATCAAAATGTAGATGCGTTGTCACTCGTTAGGACTAAGATGGAATGCCTCATTTCCAGTAAAAAGGGCCTCCGGCCACCTGCACTCACCAAGCAAAACGCAGAGGTAAACCTCTACTTCACGCTGGTTTTCTGTGAGGTCGTGGTACCACCCCGGTTCGAGCCGGCCCATCCGTGCGACAGCAAAAGCTGCCGTGTGGCTCTACCACTGTTTAAAAATATAAATATATATAAATGGTCTAAAGGCGTCAACTCACTTGCCTGCCGCAGGGGCAATCTAGGGTGTAGAAGTGGGGATCACCCTTAATTTCCTCCTTAATTGTGATGTGTGTATGAAAGCAGGGTTAATTTGCTAAGTCGGCCCTGTGGCTGGGCGGCAGGGGCGCAAGAACTTCTTTGCTCCCTAGATCATAGCTACCGCTGCCACGTGTGTAGCACCATTGGAACAATTTCAATCAGTTCGTTAGTGACTTTCGCGCGCAGCACACTTCACAATAGATATCAATAAAACATGTGAAATTTGGATACTGGTGATAGAAGTGTATAAACAGCGGCTTCTTCACCCATTATCTCCTTTTTGTTTTTTTTTTACGGCAGCACCGCAAAAGCAACGTTATTTGAACGTTGTAACGTTTTTAAACGTGGTAGAGTCATGCTGCAGCTTTTAAGGACTGTGTTATGGTTGTAATTATTAATTAATTAGTTGTTTTATCAGAAATATGGGTGTCTATGGGCCACAGTATCTCCTTAACATCAGGTGGACTGTGCTCATTTGTCACCCTTATTCTTTATAAAAAAAGAACCAAGGCTATATTTACCGATTCATTGATATTTCGATAAAACTGGCGCCATTCTCAACGCATGTGTCAACCGAGATGTACACTTTCATACTGAACAGCAGGCATGTGTATAGAGAGACAATTCTGATACTGTCCCGATCGCTGTTCATCCTAGATTGCCCAGCGGCATGCAAGTGAGTAGCCGCCTTAAAACTGAGACAGACCAGACGATTTTTTTTGATTCTATTTAGCAGTGTTTCCAACCAGCCAATTTCTCGATTTCGCTAAGGACTGACAGCTGCCAAGTAGCACCACCAACAGGTTTAATATTATACCTTCTAAATCAGAGCGCTGTTTTTCTGAGTTAGAAGTTATAATATTAATAGTGATATAAGTATACCCATTTTACCATTGGATGGTTATCATTGATTCGATGTTTTATGAAAATACATCGATACATCGAGTGTATCAATAACTTTCCAAAACATCGGATCGGTTCGATGCATCGTATTGTAAACATCGAGTGAATTCGATGCATCGATGTATATCGAATATCCCTAAGGGTTAATAGGTTAGGTTTGTGTAGCTTGCTACATATTTATTTAATCCGTGGGTTTGTGTTTACTGTTTAAGTTTTAACAAGGAAAAAGAATATCTCTCTTTAGTAAGTGAGGGTGGGTTTTAAATAATGGCTGATGAAGAATATGAAGCTGAGGATGCGGGAGCAGATTACGATGATATTGCCGAAGAAGATGACAATATCGAAGAAACCGAAGAACAAGAAGAGGATGGTTATAATGTACAATGCCTTGCCCCTGGTCAGGCGGGTGGTGGAGTAGAGAAATCAAAACGAATTACCACTAGATATATGACTAAATACGAAAGAGCTAGAGTTCTAGGTAAATAACATAACTTTTATACAGTACAATTGGGTTTACGATATTAAAATAAAGGAATGCTGAAAGCAGTGATGCTAACATACTTTTTGAGGATGAGGATGCGTAAATACGCAGCCAAACGGGCTAGAAATGCTATATCTAAAGATAACAATATTTGAAAAAATACTATGTAAAATTAATTACCTAAAGTACTACAATTAAGATAACATGTTTTTTTAAGAAGTAAGTGACAAGCATGCACTCAGTATAGCTTATGACAAGTGGATTTTATGGCTCATAGACACATTTATCCTCAGTCAAGAATCAAAATGCAAATACAGTGTGGCTATATCACGTGAGAAATTTATATATAGAATTCAAAATCACTATCAGAGGAGCCTGTGTGCTTAACTGTACAAAACCTTTAATAAATTTGAAGGTTCAAACTTTTGTGAGGGATAGATGTCATCTTCATTAAAAAATATTTATATAAAGTGGGACTAGAAATTACCTATCTTAAACAGTACAGTAAGATTATATACTTACATGCAAAACATCCAACTTTTATCAACATTTACCTTATTCCCTTTTTTGTATAATGTAATATTGGTCTTCATGTTGAGGATTATATATATTATTTGTCACACATAGTAAGATGTTGACAATGACATTATCTATACCTTGTCCTTTTGTTGTCGACTTCTTTTGTCACCTCATGGTCTTTTCCATCATATCTTGAATCCATTGTTAATGAGAAAGACCAACTGGATCCTGGTATTGTTTAAAGTTTGTAAGAATAAATTAGTGCATTTGTAATGTACCTTCTAAATTTTAAGAGGTCCATAGTACTGCATTCTGAGTTGTCATGTCGAAGCAGTGGAGTATCAACAGCATAACCATTTTTTCCAACTGATACTGGTCCCCACCAATGAAATATTTCGGTTATATATTTTAGATTTAGTTGTATTGCTTCACAAGATCTGGTTGTGTTACTGATATCTTTTTCAGTTACTGAGAATAGAGTTAAGCTTTATGAATTGGGCTTATCCTAATAGAGTTAGCGTAAACTATTACAGTTTAAAGTAAGGTCTTTAAAAAAGAAGGAGGTACTCAATTTGACTTTTTTTAATGTGTGTCACCTGAGAACTCTTTTCTAGGTAGACTGATTTTGATGATTCTTTTTTTATTTCAAAGCTGATGCATTAGTTTTTGTGTTATCCTTAATAATGCGTATTTAATGACTTCATTCTCATTTTCTTTATATTGAAGTCGGTTGTACAAAATTTTTAATTTGACCACTTGTCACATTTATGATAATTAATAGAATCAGGCGTTACTTTGTGGAAATTCATTATTATATTAAAGTTAGAAAAATTTACTTTTCCAATATCCAATCAATAATAACATATAGTTATCAAAAAACCCTCTTTATTCCTCTTTTGCGGTTTTATTGTCAAGTAGTAGACATTTACCACTCGCTATTTTCTCAAATTGTTTCCATTATTCCTATATTTATCTTTGTGGGTTCGTTAACCAGTAAAAAATATCAATGTGAGGTGGTCTCAATGTCTGATGACTTGTCTGACTGGTCTGGTGAGTCTCTTTCAAGTGCCACCTTCAACAGCTTGTCTGTATATCAGAACACAACGCTACCACATCAAGCTCTGAATATGTAGAACCAATATTTGTAGATGCACCCTGATATGGTTCAAATGCTACAATATATCCTCCTAATGTTACGCCTACCCGCAACTTGTATCTGTTTGGTTTCCCGAAAATAAATTGAAACCAAAAAGGTTACAAAATGAATTCTCCACCTGAGGACTAAGACGTCTCATAGTCTTCAAATTAGCAAACTAATCTGTACTTACTCATAAAAATTTACCATGTGCACAATTTGAAGAAATCATTATGAGAAAACCTTAGACATATTAGACCTATTTTGTAGAGTATAGGGTGAATGGCGCATCGCCACACCAATACTCTTCACCTCGACTATACTACTATACAGCAGTAGGGGGAAAGACACCGCTCTTTACCTCGGACCAGTCATATGGGTTCCTCTTAGTTCACCATGGGTGACCAAGCCAAGGCTACTAAGACACCCCCTACAGAGGGGTGTCTAAGTAGTCGTCTGACCCAAGTAGGAAAATAGACCTAATATGTCTAAGGTGTTCTCATGATGATTCCTTCAAATTGTGCACATGGTAATATTTTTAGCATGTGCACAATTAGTATTTAGCAATTATTAAACTAATCTGTACACATAAAGATATTTGCTATGAAGAGAATCTTAGTCTTCAGGTGGACAAATCACTTTGTAATGTTCTTGGCTTCAATTTTATTGATGAACCCTTAAATAAATAAATGTTAATTTATTGACACAGCTGTTATTTAATTTATCTAATTATTTAATTTTAGGTACAAGAGCTTTACAAATAGCTATGTGTGCTCCAGTAATGGTGGAACTTGAAGGAGAAACAGATCCTCTTCAGATAGCAATGAAAGAATTGAAGCAAAGAAAGATCCCAATCATTATTCGGAGATATCTACCTGACCATTCCTATGAAGATTGGAGCATTGATGAACTTATTATTATAGATCATTAAAATTAAGCAAATTATAAGTTAATAACTAAGTGTTGGACGTAACAATAAATAGTTTGATAATATAGTTATAAAGAAAATAACTTTATTTTAGTGGTTATTTCTTCTCAAATAATGATATCCTGCAATTCAGTTATTGTATGGAATAGTTTAATTATGTAAATTAATATAGTAATTAAGTTTCCAATTTGTGTACTTTCTTTGCCTATATTTCTAATTTAATTTTTATCAAGTGATATACAAGTCGCGGCACGTAAGTCTAGCGCTCAACGAAATGTGGAGGGGATAGCTGCGCGTGGGTACTGCGTGCACGAATTGAATTGCACGAATGCGACTGGAGAGCCAATCAGCGCTTACGAACGAAGCACACCCGCCCCGTGACCCGCTTACTTCCCCATCATACCTTATTTTCGACTTACGCGCAATAACGGTCACCGCTAGACGATCGTGCTACTTATAACATAGTGTGTAGATTAAGAGAATTCTCTACCCCAAATTATCCATTACATTACGTAAGAAGTAACAGAGGGAAATTAATCTGGCTATGGGCAGCAGCATCTTTCTAATAACAATTTAAAATAATGATAGGTCTTTTACCTATTAAATTTCCGTTCTGCAGTACTGGCAATTTCAAATCAAAATAATTTTTGTTTGGCTAAGAATTCTAATTTCAAATTAATTTAATTTTAAAAACATGGTTCGCTTTCAAAATTAGTCATTTGTTTATTGATTAGCATTATGTTTTCATCGCATTTAATCTTTTTCGTTAACAATTCGAGTAATTATGAAATATGAGTAGGTACCGTCGTGGCAGGAACGCGCCACAAGCGGCACGCAACATTAACGACGTTTATTCAGCGAATACTACTAACAAATGCACCACCTGTTACTGCCTTGCGCGTTCTGTTCTGGAAATTTCGACCTGAAAAATGAATCTCGTGGTCGTCAGAAAACTGGTCGACAATGAGGCATCAAAGGCGATTGTGGAAGCTGATGATACTCAATCTACGTCTCCTAATTAGCAGCAGCTTTCGACGTTAGCATCAAACAATATTAGTCCTTTTGCGTCAAATTGGCAAGGTAAAAGAGCTTGATAAATGGGTGGCCCACGAACTCAATGATCACCAGCGCGAGTACGCGTTGAAACGTGTCTTGCACTGCTCAACAGTCACAAACGAAGGAATTTTGAACCATATTTTTACCTGCGAAGAAAAATGGATTCTGTTTGACAATCGCAAGCGTTGAGCAATATCGTGGCTCACCGCCTAAACAAAAACTTACTCCTAGAAAAGTGTTTGTCACTGTTTGGTGGTCTAGCGCCGGTGTGAAACATCACAGCTTCTTACCAAACGGGATGAACATTAATGCAGATGTGTACTGTGAATAACTGAACACAATGATGGAGAAGCTCACACGTCTCCAACCAGCTTTGGTCAATCGCTCGTCCCCGCTGCTCCTGCACGACAGATGTTCTCTAAGTTACAAGAGCTGGGGTTGGAAGCTCTTCGTAATCCGCCGTATTTACCAGACCTTGCGCCTACAGACTTCTTCTTTTTCCAGTATTTGGATAACTTTTTGGCGGGAAAATATTAAATACCCGAGAGGCAGTACATAACACCTTTGAAGAATTTGTTACCTCCCATCCAGTTGATTTCTTCAAGAAGGGCATGATTAAACTGCCACTGCATTGGCAAAGATGCATCGATTGATGGGTGATTACTTTGATTGATAGAAATAGAAAATATAGAAAAAAAAATTTACGTTAATTTCATAGGTAAAGACCTATTATAAAACATTCAATTTCTAACCTGCCTGCCAAGCAAATATCCCCAGGCAATCTATGGGGGACGCCTATGTTCACCTGTGGACTTTTGATAGATTGTAGTGAATAAATGAATATATAACCAATAATATAAGAATTTCAGAGTCTACTATTAGAAAAAGAACTATAAAGATTGTGCAAAATGACATTTGTCTTGAAAAAACTACCCATGATGTCTCTCGGGACCGAGTTCCAGTCACGGTAGATAATCTCAAGGAAGACTAGCTTTGTACACCTGACAGGATTATAAAGCACGAGTGTGTGCAAGTACAGGTGCACTCTATATCGATAGTCCCATGCGACGTCAATCCAACACGATCAGTACAACAACAAAATTATATATACTACATTATATATACTAAAAATAAGTAATTAAATACATTTCTACCATTTTTAGAATTTTCTGTCTGTCTGTCTGTTTGTTAAGGCGCAGGTTGAGCAAAATGTCGCGCTAGTCGTTATTTGTGCTGTTTTTAGGAGCTATCTACTTTTTATTTAAAAGATATATCAACAAATAAAAAACACATTATATTTCTACATAATGTTGATTCCATAAAAGCTATATCCAATTTTTTTTTAAAGGAATTAATATTAATATAATCTCCTTACAACGAAACCACATAAATGTGAAATTATTATTGATAACATGCATCTCCTCATAAAGTAAGTATTATTTTATTTTGCGATTTACACCAATGGATAGGCAATTTATTAATGAACATTTCTATAGTAAATTTTTTTTCAAAAGACCAAAATTTGATTTTATTAAGAATTTATTTTAAAATCTGGGCATATTCACTGCTCACGGGCTTGCTGAAGTCAGTGAGCCCTGAGTGGCCCTGAGCTCTTCGACGCGAAGCCCGTGTCGTTAGAGCGTCGACCAGCACATACACTCACGTCATATTAGTCGATAATAATATTACTTATTAGGTTATTTATAGGTAGTATTATTTGTTTGTTTTGGGTATAATTTTTCGTATTAGTTATACATATATTTGTTGTGTTTTTTACTGCGCGATGAAGTTTTTTGCGTGTATTTTCTTTGAAGTAAATGCAAATAAAAAAATGAAGCACCATTAGCATGTAAGGTTCGAATCCATAATTAAAATTTCGACAAATATAATTTACACTATAAAAGGCTAATTCAATATTATCACCCAACCACAATATCTTATTAGGTATAGTACCGCCTCGTTGGTCTAGTGGTTGTAGTAGTGCGAGTGCTGATCATGAGGTCTCGGTTTCGAATCCCGGGTCTTGTCAAAAAGTCAGTTATGAGTTTTTGGCCCGTTTTTGTTTTTATTTATTGCTTGTTTTTTCTTCTTTTTCAAAAAAAATAATAATTGAGTACATAAGATGTTCTATACGCCGAATGTCAGAGAGAAAAGCTAGTACATCTTTTGCTAAACTTTAAAATCTAAAACCTATTTTAAAACAGACGAATTGATCATAACTCCCTTAGCTATAAAATAAGTTATGATCTAAATAATGGTATTTATTCCAGTTTATGGCAGCTCTGATTTATATTACGTGGCTGAAATTAGGTACATCTTATTAGGTACGTCAAACCAAATAACAGCCGGGCGGCTGACATTATGCACTCCATACATTTCTTATATTATCTAATTACAGTCCCATTAATTTCCACTAAAAGAAAATAAATAAGTTGTAAATTCAAACAAAAATAACTACATTACTATGTCTATAGTCATATTCATACAAATCAAAAAGCCTATATATGAGATAATGTAAAGTAAGCATAATTTTACCGGGATCATAACTTGTCAAATAATTAGGAAAATGATCGTTTTTCGTTGCGTACCTGTTTTGATTTTAACACTGTTAGGTTTAAAACTGCGAGGTAATATTTGAAGAAATATAGTTTCCTCTAGGTACAAAGAATTTTTTAGATGAAAATATTTGTAGTTAAGACTACTAGAAATCTTATTTATGGAGTAAAAAGGCGAAAAGACTGCACTAATTGCAGTATTGTATTGCAGGGCATGACTGGTATTAGGGGCTTCTACCCTAATTCGGTAAAAAGTATCTAAGTAGGTATTAATATACCTACGTTTTACTATAAACTAAATTTTTTTTAAACTAAATTTAACTAAAAAAAACTAGTGACCATTTATTTTTTAACTCAAAACAGGACATGGGTTTATTTACACTCTAAAAACTATAACTTTATACAATTAGTGTTCAATATAAAATTATATTCGGTATAGACGGTAATTATTAAATGCAACATATTTTTTTTAATTATTAATTACATTTGTCAGTGGATTAAATTTGCTTTAATAAAGTTGGTGATAATTTTAAATAAGAATAAAATTCTGCTTAAGTTTTTTTATTGTTACCTTTGTTAACAACATCGCCTTTAGAACTGGAACCGTAAGTGTTTCTTTCAGACGTCCACAATTTGTTCAAAATAAAAAAAATATTCTTTCTACTGGAGCATTTGTACCAGGGAGACATAAAATATATTCGATTAAAAAAAATTATGTTGAAGATTGTTGACTTTGAATACTTCCATCCAACGAGTTACGGGACAATTTTGTGTCCCGGAGCTTTGCTTGGGGACAATGGGACAGGTGACTGAGAAAAGGGACAGTCCCGTTCAAAACGGGACGTATGGTCATTTTAGCTATAAACCGGCGACGGCTCCGTGGCGCACTGGCTTAGCAATCAGTTGCTGCACTGGGGGGCGCGGGTTCGAATCCCGCACGGAACAAGTATTTGTATGGCCTACAAATAATTGTTCCGGGTCTGGATGTTTGTCCTTGTGCAATTTATGTTTGTAAACTGCCTCCACGACTCTCGTTCTATATTACTCTCACTCTGCGAAACATCCTATTTATTTATTTATTCTTTATTGCACCAAATATTTGTACAAAAGGCGAGCTATCTATCTATTTACCTATAGTGAGTAGGTATCTTTTAAACTCACAATTTTCAATGCTTCATTTTTAATATATAATTAATTATAAAATTTCATAATTAGATAATATTATATGAGAATACATAACTCTAATATAATGCAACTAATATACCGAATAAAAAATTTGAGATACATTTATCGTTGTACGCTGTGTGTATTTCCATAAAATAGTTTATTGATGTTGAAAAAATACTACGTTCTTACAGTAGGTGGCGCCTTACAGATTTCTTACGTGATATT